TACTGTTCATTTCTCAATGCCCTCTACTGCAAGGATTTTGATTGAAAGTGACATTACACTACCAGACGTAGAAGAAGTCTGGTTTGACTCTGCTCACAATGTTTATTAACAAAAAATCATTATAGAAAAAAAACCTTATTACTGCAAGCACTGCAAGATGTTTGGACACCCGTAAGAGAAATGTTTCAGATTGCACCCACAATTGAGAAACACTAGTCAAAAGCAGGAATATATTGTTAGTGCACTCCACGTGACTGAACGTCCTCCCAGCAAACCTGATGACAGTCAACCTGAGGAGGGAATCACAACAAGATAAGAGTTAGTGTCTGCCACTAAGAACCTTTCTCCTGATCATACTATAAGAGATAATGTTCGGACCAAAAATCAGGATAGCCCCGCAGCTCCTATTCAGGAAGCATCAGATGCAGATGTGACAATTCACACTTCACATACACTGAAACCTATCACTGTGGCCACGACTGCTTTTTCTTCTACTGCGGTTATAATATCTAATCAGACCGAGGATCACATGAACCAGTTTTCAGATGAAGAAGAGAATGACAGGTTTACACTTCTCAGTGGAAGAAGAAGGCTGAGGCATACTCCAACTTGGAAACTTAATGGATTATACTTTGGTTACTCCTGGTAATGACACGACACTTCAAAGTTTGTTATCTGACTCCGTTCCTAAAATTAGAAGAAGGGGCAGGACTAAACTGGTTCGTCCCTAACTACTTGTTCTCTGCATGTTCTAAATTTTTTGAGTTTATCTATATCTTTTTGTTAGGGTATTACTGTACTTGGTTTCGTATGTGTAGGGCGTCTCAATTGAGCCCTCTCACATAACTTTTATGTATCTTTTCTATTTCAATAAAATTAGCCACATATATATATATATATCATGGGTAGTCGGCGTGCAGCTCTGCTAGGGTTTTCGCCTGATGGTGATTCCCAGCTTTGAATCCTTCGTCTTTTCACTCTGTGAGCTTCGCTGTATTCCACGACGAACGGCTTTATCGTGCTCGACGACGAACGACTTTATCTTGCTCGACGACGAATGGCTTTGCACCCATCCTTCTCCTTTTTTGATTGCCTCGTCGGCGTTTGCAGGCAGCTCGCACAACAGTATTCCATGCTTGATGGGTCGTCAGTTTCGTCGATATATGCAGACAGCTCGCACGATGTCGTCTGGTCACAGCTTGACGCGTCTTCTTTCATTCCTTCCTCGGGTCGTAGGTTGGCGCGGCTCACCACGCCGCTCTAGACTCTGTCCGTGATAATCTTGCCTGGTGAAGATGGCCTCGATAATTCGTTCATATGCCACTGCCCTTGTCGGCGATAATCTTAATCCTACTCGTGCCCCTATTTGCATTGTTCTACAATCCTTCCACGAGGCTCTTGAAGGTGGTAGTGATTACACTTTCAATAAAAAGCTTGGTAAAAAATGGGAAATCTGTTCTTTTTCTCTCTGAGGTTGAAACCAATACTCTTGCGACTTGGCGTTTAACTCTGGTTGGGAAATTTATTTATAGTCACCCAAAATTGAAACCAATACTCTTGCGACTTGGCGTTTTACTCTGGTTGGGAAATTTATTTATAGTCACCCAAAACTTGAGATCATTTGGAAAGATTTTGATGCTATGAAGCTATTGGGCAAAGCTATCGGGTAATTGGAATATTGGCTTACTTGACGACCGACATATACTTATTCAGTTACCTCACGATGCGCAATACACTCATATTTTTTCTCGAAAAGTAATCAAGATTGACAATCGTTTTATGAAAATCCTGAAGTGGACCGTCGACTTTGATCCAAAAACGGAGTCCCCTATCATTCCTTTTTGGATGAAGTTTCCGGGGCAAAAACTACACCTGTTCAACTTTGAAATTCTCTACTCTTTAGCAACTTTAGCAACTGCTTACGGTAAGGTAAGTCTCTCATGGTTGATAGTCCTACGCTTGCTCACTAGATCCTCCGTGGCTTGTGTGTTAGTTGAGAGATATCACCCAACCAACTCCGGATCACCCAACCAACTCCGGATGAGATATGGATTGGATCCAATCACATTGGGTATTGATTGGCAAAATGTTGAAATAAAATCACACCCTTCATATTGCTCTCATTGCAGTATGTTTGGCCACAGTTTTACTACTTGCTATCGTTTGCATCCTCACTTAAGGTCGGATATTACTAAAGTTCAGCAACCTGTTCAAAAATCTATTCATGTTGAATTAGGGATGGACGTCTTGCCACCTGCCATCTCTGCCTCCCCGACCCTCTTTCCAACACTGTACATACCTCTGTTCGTCTGTCTGACGCTTTTCTTGATGGGAAAATTTCTAATGATTCTCTTATTCAAACCTTGGTTGTCTCAGATAAAAAACACCATACCCGTTCTACCCCTGGATGCTCTTGCTCTTGACACTCTACTCCAGCCATTGGTTTGGAGCATGGTACTCGGGCGTCATTACAGCCTTCACCTGCCCTAGAACCTATTACTAATGTTACTGGTGGCAATCTTGCTACTTCCTCTCTACCGCCTCATCAGGTCGAGGAAGATGTTAATGTTACTCAGGCACATGGGCTTCATGATGTGCAACAGCCTACACCTGTCCGACAATCCACTGATCAGATGAGTCAATCCTCGAATGAGGAATAAGAGGTTTACACATCCAGAAGGAAGAAGAAAAATTGAGACCTACCTAAGCTCAGGAATCTGATGGATGATACTTTGGTTACTTCGAGTAATTGTACGCACCTCACCAATTTGTTAGTCGGTTCCATTTCGAGAACTCGAGGCAGATGCAGGACTAAACTCAGTCGTCCCTAGTTTTTTATTTTTATTTCTTTTTCTAAAAAGGGAGTTGCGGTATACTTATTGGTGATACACCTACTACTCTCCATACTCTCCTTCTCAGCAATTTACTGGATACCCCCTTTTATTAGAAGCTAGCTTTATCTGATTTCTTTTTAGCTATTTATCATATGGTTTTGGTTGACCACTTTGAATATATGCTTCTCTGTTTCTCCTGGAAGGTATACTTTGGCTTTATTATCCGGAAGAACCTTTTTAGCCTGCTTATTTTGTCTTACCAAATTATTGTGGTCATTTTACGGCTCTGGATTTGGCGATCAGGCTGGGGGCTTTGCAGGCAATTGGATTTTTATTATGCCTCTCATGCATTTTATTGCTGTCTCTACTGTATTTTTTTTTTTGGATGCTTCTGTATAATCACCTTGCATATTGATGCCATACCATTGATTGGCAGCTGTGTGGTACAGTTTTCTGTGCTCACTGTTTGCTGTTAGGTTTATACCCATATAGAACAAAGTCAGCAGTTTGATCAGGCTAATGATTTTAAAATCAACTTCACTGTTTGCTGGAAGGTTTATTTTGCTTCAATCAATTCAAAAAAATTATGATTTTAAAACCTAATCTAAATTCTTGGGATCAGGCTAATGATACTGCCGTCAAGAAAAGCCTATGTATAACTCTACCACAGGATCACAAGAAATTCCATATATTATTTATTTTCTCAAGGAGTCTATGGTCGAGGAGAAGTTTGATTGCAGCTATTTCGAAATCAAGGGTAGGGGTATGTAAAATGCAAAGTAAACAACATATATTTGAAAAATCCAGAGTTCTTTAGCTAATCGTAAAATGATTTAAGCAATAACTTTCTTGTGTATGCTTGAAAGTAAAATGAGTCTAAAATAAAATAAAATAAAATATAAAATGAACCTAGGATACGATATCAACTATCATAGAATTCAAATGCACATGAGGGTCACAGGGGGGTCAATAAGGACCAAAGGTGTCACAACAAGCGACGAGCATTGTGTGAGCGAGGTCACAAGAAGGTCGCAGTTGAGCAAAGTTTGCATGTGGATGCATAAGCAAGGATGCATGAGGATCTCAATGAACAATAATTTGGGTGAGTTATAAATACATGGAAATTTTAAAATATAATCAACGAAAGGGCATTACAAAGGGAGAAGGTTGTGAAAGCTTCTTGTCGTTATTGAAATTCATCCAAATCATGCAAATGATTTGTGTCGTGAAGTATACTTAAAAATTGTCTGCTTTGGGTAAATTCTAAATACATTGAAAATAAATTATGAGGAGAATTGCATATCCATAAACAAATTACTTTGGATATGTTTCTCTTTACAAAAAAACCTAAAAATCCAAAAACACTACAATACTACTACATCCAAACGGACAGCCCATTTAAGAATAGTTGATGTAACCAAAATATTTGCAAAATAGTTTATTTTATATAGTTTAAAGTTAGTGAAGTAAAGTTGTTTTATTTCATGGTTCATTTTCATCACAGACTTCAATTAAATTAAATGTAGCCAAATTTGCTGCACTTGGCATGTACTCTCCGTTGCATTCCAAATATATTGAGCTAAAAAATGCCTCAGGTTCATGCGTTTTCATTGTTGAAACCTTTGAATCTCCAGCATATAAACATACTTCTATAGGAAGAAAAATGCAAAAGCAAGTAAATATTCTATAATTGCTGCAAATTATCAAAGCTAGAAATAATAAAAAAAATTACAAATAAACTGCAAAGATAACAAAGTCAAGAACAGATCAATACATTTTCTATAAATTAACAAAGACTAAGAAAGGCACTCCATATTACAAATAAATTATTTCCGAAGCTTTTTCTAAGGAAAAAAAATATCATTGAATTGGGATAAAGAGAAAAAGATATTTTTTTTTCAAATAGAACCTCTGGGAGGCTTCCAAGAAATTCAAGGAAAACAGAATGAAGGACCACTATTTAAGAAAACATTATTACTGTATTCAATTTCATTGTGATAAGTGCATCAAATTCAGGAGAATGCTTTATTAAAGAATCCATAAACTCAAGATCTTTCTTACAATGGGGTCAATTAAACGTAAAAGAGTCATTTGTATACAATCAAGCAGTAGAAAAGTTAAGGAGAAGTCGTACTAAAATGTTCATAGGCTCACAAGATTACTTACCATTGTTTGCATAGGATAGGAAGCCATATGACTATTGGGATATTCAACATAATCATGTTTGTTTTTCCTCTGCATTTTGGCCAACGCTTCTATTTCATTATTACCACTAAATAATTTCTTTGATTGTGGCTCAGCATGAGAAGCACCTGCTTTTTGTCGGGACACCTGATTTGTGGCAACAAATGAATCAATAGTGCCACCTGATTTATGATGTTCTTTGGAAGAGAGCAATTTTCTCTTGTCAAACTCCTTAGGTTCTATTGTGACAGATGAAAGACCTTTGTTTGGTAGTCCTGCCGATGGAGGAATATCTGAATTGATGACAAAGTCAGCAGTCCGTTTACTGTATATGCCTGTGGAAGAATTCATTTTGGTTTTTAAAAGCTTCCCTTCTTGATAATGTTCATCAAAAGAATTCATAACTTCAGCTGGAGGTAATTTTTTTGCCACCAGAGAAGCATTCCTCGCAGCAGCTTTAATCTTCATATTACCCAGACATTCATTAGGAACATGCTCATGCTCATGCTCATGCTCAGTTTCACTCTGAGTGCTCAGTTTCACTCTGAGCTTTTTTTTGAATCTTTTCTCCTCATTTTCTTTGGTGCCAGATTAGGGGAAGAACTTGGTTCACTGGTACAGTAAGACAAATAGAAAAAACCAAAAAAAAAAATGTATAAAGATTTAGTAGCTCACAAAGAAAGGACAGAAAATTATGCTGTACTGTTTGAAAAGAAAACATCTGTTATGTTAATAAAATATTAGTCAATCTAAGCTTAAGACCTAAGTTTTCAAAGAATGCAGAAAAATTTGAAGAAAACAACTTGAGTATATGGTTACACTGGTAAAAAAAAGTTACTAACATAGAAATAGCAGAACGGTTAAATGTCAGACAATAATAGCTGCAATGAAACTAAACTCATTAAGAAAACAAGAATTATGTATCATTCAAGAATCCAAGGTATTCTCAAATCATTTATAGTACTCGCAAGAAACTTATCCATTATAACCACCCTGTGATGGTTATAAGTTATATCATGTCCATATATATCAATTATATTCTTTTGGATTAACAGATCAAATTATTACTTAACCTACAATATCAAAGTAAGAAAATTATATATAACCGCAGTTCAATAGTGGTTTTCTAACATGAAGAGCCAACAATTACATATTCCATCTCATAATTCAAGTTGTATAGACAATCCGCTTCCCCAACCGCAAAAAAAAAAAATGCGCAAACATGCAATGTCACTTTAAAAATGACATAATTGAAAACATGAATAATTTTGTCATAGTCAACAAAAGAGAAAAGTAATGTTCTCAAAATTTGGGTAAAGAAGTTCATTTTAAAGGGGTTAATTTAACTAGGTAAGCAAATTCTTTCACCAAAAGCGGTTAAGTAGCAAAGAGCTCATTCAAGAACCCGGCTTAAATAATTGTTTGAAATGTGTCATGGAAGTTCATATTTTGCAGAACTTGAAAATAATGAGAGATATTTCTAGGAGGATTGAAAATCACATTCATCTTTGCATTTCATATAAGAAAGTGTGATTTCACCATTGTTTTGGATCTCAATTTTGATTATGTACCTTACTGCAGAAATAAACATCAAAACAACAGTGACATGCTATGAGTTATGCAAAACAGTAGACACCACTGAATCCGCTTCCATGAAACTTACTATGGACCCGAGCTCCAACAGCCTCTAATCATTTAAGTGGCAAAAAACAGGCCCTCGAAGCGGAGCCAATAGAACAGTCTATTATAAAGAATGGGCTAGCCCTAATAATGCAGTAATCGGCTTCTAAATGCTAAGGGTGGCTTTGGCATAATAAGACAACCAATCCTTCATAATAAACCTGCTAAGAATTTATCAGGTATAAAATTTAATATAATCAAGCCCGTATAAATATAATCAACCAAGTCAAAAGAGGTGATCTTATATTTTTCTTTCAAACAAACCTGTTGGATGGAGGTGTCATAAGGAACAAGCTAGGTAGTTCCATTTAAGCAAATTAATCTGCATGTGATAAGAATATCTACTTCAAATAATCAAGGAGAAAAAACAAGAAATTTATACTATAAACATAACTTTCTTCCACAACTACTAACGGTACATTGTTTGACCTTCTTGTATAACAGAATAAAAAGCATGAATCATTAACATAAGCTTTTCAGTTTCCACTAGCACAACAGGAAAGATAAGAATCCTCTTTAGTAATGAACCAAATCTTTTGATTTAGAAGCTCAAAACTCCAAGAAACGAGTCAGTCCAATGTAGACCAATTGATGTTAAATGAAATTGATGAATAGATAAAGGATTCGGCACTATGAAACATTACACGTGGCTGTTGGTGTGGTAATAGACAAAGAGGAGGGTTCACGACAGAGAAGATTTCAGTAGCTTGGAGAAAATATGAGCAGGATCTGCAATCACAAGATGAGTAGTAGGAAGACGAAGAGGAATTCAATTGCCGTTGGTAATTGAAAGGAGATATGCTTGGGATCATTTCTGAAAATCCTGAGAGAACAATACAAGGATGAGTGAGCCAGATCAACATGGATCTTTCTTTCTGGTGAAAAGCATCATCAATGAAAGAATAGAATACAAAAAGAATAAATAATAATAACCTATATCATGCAGATGAAAGTTGTCTTCACTATATCTTCCTGTTTAACCCTCATCTGGCAATAGCCTGATTTTTTTATCAATTTTTGAAAATACAAAAGTCATTTCAAATAGTTCTTAGCTGGAGCTATATCCAATCCAGGCTTTGCAAAATTTATGTGAGCCATGAATGTTCAAAAATAAGGGTATTATTATTGAAAGTGGTAATGTCAACATCATTAGGTTTTGGAGCTCTACTATGGAAAGGATGTCTTGGCAACACCGACCACAAGACACTCTGAATTTCTCTTTTTTGTTGAACTTTAAACAAATTCTATTTTTTCACTGAATTAGGGCGTCCATTTATGTGCCAAACGCGCCCTTAATGGTTTTTTTGTTTTGATGCATCTAGATAGTGATAGGGAACTCTCCTCTATACTTATAGATGACAAGGCTCAATTTTGTACATCACAGATGCATACATGTATAGTTTTTATAACTTATTGATATTTTAATGCAAAATGCAATATTTCACAGAAAATACAAATGTCATATTCAATTGATCAAACAATTCATCAATCCTTATCAGTGGATATTTGTCTTTACATTGAGCTTATTAAACTCCAATAGTCAATGCACATTCTATTGCTCTCATCCTTCACAAAAATGATTGGAGCTCCCTAAAATGAGGTGAACCCCTTATGTAGTAATTCGTGTAACTGACTTTTCAACTCCTATAGCTCCTTAACTAACAATCCGTTAGGGTGCGTTAGATATTAGCTCAGAACTTGGTAGTATCACAACAGTGAAGTTGATCTCTCTCACAAGACGTCCCTTGTAATTAATCAAAAAAAAATTTCAAGATATTATCTTACCACTGGATTATCACCCAAAAAATTTACCTCTTTAAAGGTATGTCACATAAGCAAGAAAACATTGGTATTCAATATTCAACAATTTGAAAGCTTAAAACAAGAAATTATCATGGATGTCAACCCTTTATCACCAAAAAATATGACTTCCGCCTCCCAGGTACATTTATTTTGACAATATTTTTATTACAAACAATCAATCCATGCTTAAAATTACCTAAAATTCCACCAAAGATAACACATTCAATTATGCATCAAAATTCTTTCCACAAATTATTAGCTTCACCTCATATAAAAGATTAACATTCATAGAAGAATTGCTTAGCTTTCTAACAGATATTACCATAAACATTAAGGAGATATTGAATTGCATCATTTTAACCAATTCCTTAGTTATAAAAGAATGTGATGCTCCTGAATCAAATAATACTCTTATTAGCCTATTTTATAAATATATGGTACCTATCATTAAAACCATTACAGTAAATAATTAGAATTGACTTATTAATATATATCAATTCTTACAAGATACTATGAATGACATTACATGATGTCTGTTATAATTTAAAGTGCACTTGGTTAAAAATTTCTTAAATGTAAAACATACATGTGATAACCTCGGGAAAGTCTTTAGCTTCCTACTATGAAAGTGAATAATCTCTGAGCTGGACATTCTACTTGGTCTGACCAGAATTTGGCATTGATTCTGAAGATTCAGCCACCCTCAGCAGCCAAATATTTTATGAGATAGTGCAGCACTGCCCTTATAATTTGTTGAGCACTCTGTACCAATCTAGGGCAATTACACATCCTGTCCTAATTGGTGGCACCATGGTGGCACCAAAAGTAAGTGTTGGATCTATAAAGTGGATCTATAAAGACAATAATCTTTGTGAGAACGACACTGTTAGATTTGGCCTTCTTAACAATTGTATTTTCATGACTTGAAGGATTGCCTGCCCTAAGAGTCATGACGAAACCTACCTATCCTGAAAGCCTCTCCTCTGGAAAGCCTATAAATCCAGCTCAAACCGCCTGGCCCTCTGCACCAAAACAGAGTAATCATCAATCGAATCAATGATTGTTTAATCATACTATAATTGATCTAAGAGTTTTTACTCACGAGTTATTGCAGTCATCATTTCAGCAAAAGTATATGCGTTCATAGTAATCCGTAGAGATCAATTTCTTCCCGCTGATTTTTCATATTTCTAAAATAATTAAAAATTTTTATAATTAAACATTATTTAACTTTTCATTAATATTATTTATTAATTAATGTAAGCAAATTCATGGTTCTTTTTCATCATGATTCCAACATAAATTGCTCTGATATCCTTTTAATCAAGATCCAACCAAATAGCTTAGCATTAATTAAGTTAGAAACTACAGTTGGACATTAAAATTTAATTTACTTTCCAAAAATTTCATAACTTTAAATTTATATAAGTCACTAAGAAACTACAAAATATATTACATAGAAATCAAATCATCCAAAATTAACATGATAAATTGAAAATAAAAAATTTCAAACCACCACACAACAGTATCAATACTCAGAAGTAAACAGTACAATAACTACAACCACAACACAACATAATATCTATTAGCAAAAATCTTCCTGTAAACTAAATCACTCCTATCACACATCAATTTTCAAATTTTCCTAAAAAAAAAATTAAATTCAACGGTTAGTGTTTCACCACTTAGTGAGCAATCACAATCTTATTATGCATTAAATTAATATGTACATGTTGTGTAAAAATGTCCCAAGGATATGCAATTTAATGATAAATCAAATTATAAGCTTTCATTTCTAATTTAACCCTTCTCATTTTAAATCAAGTATTTACCCTTTCTAACCTCTTTAAGAAGGTATATTAAGGTTATCGTCATATCGAAGATATCCTCAAAAAGCTATACTCATAGATATCCCAAAAATTTGCACCCGGATGTACATCTTTATACTTTGTATTTTTTTATCATGCACGAATAAATCTCATCTCGTCAATACCATTTGGGGTAATCCTGATTGACTTAATTATTCACATTTCATTTCTTTTAATTATCTCTTTCTAAAGTCATTGAACAACCCATTTCTCTTTTTTCATTTCATTTCATTTATTTCAATAATTCTTAAGCTTGCAAGATGCATGTAATTATAAAAAAAGTCTGATGCATTAAGAAAGTCTTTATTTAATATAACAACAATTTAATACATATTGGAAATAGTCACTCACCTTTAATGTCGCAACTTTCCCCTTCTCCCTTGAATCTAAACTTCCAAAGCTTAAATCCTATATTAGATTCATTAACTAAGAAAAAATAGAATCTAACATTTATCTCAATTATCTTGATCACTTTTGTAGAAATATTGACCTCTATCTCACTTCAATTTGAGACTTTAATAACTTCGATCCGGATTTCAAATGTAAAAATAAGCAAACACGCACACACACGCACAATTTTACCTTACTGTTCGCTAGGCTGCCCTAACCCGTGCATGCAAGCTCCCTCTTCCCACAAAAAAAAAATTTATTTTGCATGTGCAAGCTCCCTCTTCATGTAAGTGAAGACTAAATAGATGAGGAAAGTTAGTTTTAATTAAATGATCAAAAGTAGAATCACCACATTAGCTGCGAAAAATTGGGCTGCAGAATGAAAAGTAGGCGTGTAGATTAAGGGACAACGAAGTAGGTGATGTGTTGGTATACTCAAGATGATGGATGTCGAGGATTGGGTAAATGAGAGAAAATTTTGGAAGTTATTTCCTAGGATTAAATAAGGGCCATCATCGGATAGACATCATAATTTAGGTATTTAAATAATAGCACATTGAATTATTATTAATTGATTGATCAAATATTCATTTATAGTTGGAGAACATTAAAGGTTTCAAGCAGTAAAGAATGGGTATGTAGTGGGATATGATCTTGAAGCATATATTTTTTACAGATAGTAATATCACTACCAGTATCACATAAAGCATGTATAAGAATAGGTTCATATGTAGGAATATATAATTCTATTGCAATGAAAATATGAAAGCTTGACATTGCGTGGTAGGATAATGTTATCTATATGAATGACATTATGCATAAAGGTTATAATATGTTGTTGGAGAAAATCCATTTATACTAAAATTCGATTAGAATTTTTGTCACCGGTTAAGAATAAATATTGGAAATCAATTCGTAGATTGGTGATATCCCAGAAATCAAAAAGTTTTCGGCTTCACGAGTACAAAAGTGGTTTTGTCCAAGATAGTCTTGATATATATATGGAATATCTTTTAAAATTATAAATTTGTTAGAACTACTTCTTGATCTATATGTGAATGGTGTGAACTTGTATCTAATAAAATCCTACATTGTTTGTCCAATATGATATAATATCCAGAAATCAATAATTGATTATTGTTTTATTCTTTCAGGCAAGTAGATGGTCGAGCGAAAAGATAGATTGACTTGCTTCGAGAGAACGTTGAGGTTGTATAGCAAGTGAATTAAAATTTCCAGCGAAGCTAAGTCGTGGATGTCG